ATGGATGCAGACTGGCCTGACTATTCTGATGATGAGAAAGAGAGTGATGATGTTGTTGTTGTTGCTGTTGTTGCTGGGACTGTGGCTGTGATTGTGGCTGTGTATGCGACATGGAGGAGTGGAGTTCGGCGAGGTGGGACGGGTGTGGGCTGTGTTCTGGGCCGTGGAAGAGGCCGCTGAAGAGGCCGCCGCCGCCGCCGGGCTCGCCGGTGGCCGAGTTGGCGAGAAGAAAGTTGGCCGACAGGACGGGCGTCTGCCGGAAGGCGGCGGTGACCGACTCGCCGAGGTCGGTCTGTGCTGGTGCTTCGGTGGCGGTCAGGTAGCCTGTGCTGTTGCCGCCATCGCCGGTCAGCAGATTGACGATGGCCGAAGATTGACCGGCCTCGACTGAGTCGTCCAGATGAGTGGAGAAGCTGGCTGCAGCCATGGCTACGGCAGAAAAAGCGGCCGAGCTGGTGGGTGGTGAGCCGGACCCGGTTGCGACTCCGAGGACGGACGGACTGCTGCCTTGGCTGGCGTTGCTGACGGCGGTGCTGCTGCTCAAACTGGGCAGGTAGCCACCGGTCGACTTTAGGCCGGAAAAGGAGGAGGAGGCTGATGATGATGATGATGATGATGATGATGAAGAGGAGGAGGAGGAGGAGGAGGAATTGGAAGACGACGAGGAAAAAGACGAGGCGGAAGAGGAGGAAGGTTGTCCAAGGGAAGCGACAGGAAAGGTTTCGTCTGACATTCCTACCAGTCCCGGCCCGGTCGATGAAATCGGACAGCCAGTGTTTGTTGCGTATGCCCCAGCAACAAGATGCGGCAAGTAGCCCGACAAGGTGGGCAGATACGCTGTCTCTCGCTTCGACTCCTGGCCTATGTTGGCCGTTGCCATGGCCGAGATCAAGTAACCACGGCTGGCCAATGGGCAAGCAGATGCCACCGACTCATTTGTCACTTGTCCCTCTTCGTCAACCTCGTCGTCCGCCTCCTCTTCGTCGTAGTCGTCCTCTTCGTCGTTGTTGTCATTTCGCGTGTCATGCCTTGCATTTGCTTGCTCCCCAAAAGCGCCCGGTTGCCGGGCGCCGTTCGACCGACCGGGACTCGCTCGTGCCAACGGACTGCGTCGGAACCGAGTCGGTGTCGTCTTGGGACTGGCTGCCGCGGCAGCAGCCGCCGCAGCCGCAGCTGCTGCTGCCATGGCCATCGAGGCAGAGAACACTTTGTTGGAAGGGTGTGGTGGACCAAACAGGTGGTGCTGATGTTGTTGTTGGCGTTGAACATGTGCACAAACGTCAACCTCATCCTCTCGGCCGCCACTCCGAAGGATTGCGCCGTCGCATGGCGACTCGACATTAGCGCCTTCGCCGCATCCGAGTCCCATCCTCGGGCCGCCGGTAGTTGGGGAGATGTGCGCGAAGTTGGAGTGCATGGACGAGGACGACGACGACGACGACGACGACGACGACGA